ATAATCTTGTAAGATTCACCCAAATTTTTATATTTTTACAACAAATTTCTAATAAAAAATTTACTATTTAAAATTTTTAATATATTTTTTTAATAAAAGTTTTACAACTATATTATTATTTTAAAAAGCTTAACATTATTATTTGATAAACCAAATATATATTTTAAAACTTAATACCTATTTTACTTTATTATAATTTACTTTATTTAAAAATTCTAAGTAAAAAGATAATATAAACTTTTGACAATATTAAACTAATAGAATTTTTAAAAGAAATTAGATAAACTAAATAACAAATATGTATAAAGAAACATATAACCAACCAAGTTATTAAAATTTACTAGAGAAAAGAATTTTTAATTATATAACAAGAACTTGAAAACAGTTTGAGAAATTAAATTTAGAATAAAAAAAAGTTAAAAAGAACTAAGATATATTATATCAGGCCATCAGAATTAGAAATCTAAAAAGTTCTGTTGGTTCTTAGCTGTAGTTAGTAGAGAATGATAAAGAAAACATTATAAAAATTAATATTAAAATTTGGGTGAATCTTACAAGATTATAGTAGTTTAATAGTTAACTCTAATTACAAGTAATGGTTTAAGTCAAAGTGATATTAGATTAGTTATAAGTATAAGATACAGAAGACTCTGATGGGTTTAGTACAAAGTTAAATATGACTTAGTAATTATGGCATATTTTTATTAGTTTATAAGAGTTATTGGTAAAATAGAATAGATATAAAATTAGAATGTTTAAATAGAAGATCTACAGATAAGTCTTAGATATAACAGCTAATATAGAACCTTTAAGCAGACTATTTAAATTAGACAATAACTAAAGTTGTATAAGTGGCTAGTTGTATACTTTTTTTATAATTGCCTTTGTGTCTATTATATTAACAGATGCTAGTCAATATATACTATTAATAAAATCTTGAGTTATATATATTTACCTTAATATTAAAAAAAAAAATTATTAAAAAAGTAAATATCAGAATCTTAATAAACTTTATAAAGATAAAAATAGTTTAATAATAGTAGTATAACAGAATATCTGTAATTACAAGTATTATTCTAACTATAATATATTATATAAAACTAAATCAGTTATATATAAGATATAAAAAGTTTTAGTAAATTTTTTTATTAAGAATAGAATAATTTTAAGAATACTAATATAAATTGAAGAAGTGTGATGACCTAGTGAAGTGATCAGGTTGTTAACCTTTAAGTAACAAATCTAGAATTTAAATTCTATAGATAATGAATTTTGAAAAATAGGACTATGTTATAGTAACTGTCTTTGTTAATCAGTTGGATTAGTATATCTGTAACCTTTAGTTGCATCATCTTAAATAGGAGCTTAGAGCATCTATGCAAAATATAACATTACACCCATATAGAAGAATATTAATAACTAATATTGTATAAAACTTTAGTGCAAACCCACAATAAGACCACTAAGTATAAAAAGTGAAAAAACTGAAAAGTCAGAAACTCACTTGGAAATCTCAAGTAAGAAGGTAATATAAAACTTTTAACAGTGTTATCGAACTGATGAAAATTTATGAAACACTTTCAAAGAGATAGGCAGATAAATCAGATGGCAAGATGTGTAAAAGAACATATAACTAACCAGGCTATCATAATCATCAGAAAAAAAAAATACTAAGGTATACTATATAAGACTATCTGAATTGAAAGTCTGAGGAGTACTGTCTGTTCTAAGTAGTAATTAGTAGAGGACAATAAAGAAAATATTAAAAAGATAAATATTGAAGTTTTGAATGAATCTTACAAGAATAAAAGTGATTTAATGATTAGCCCTAACTGCAAATAATGATTTTAGTCAAAGTAATACCAGGTGAGCTATAAGTATAGAATACAGAATGTGCTAATAAGTTTAGTACAAAGTTAAACATAACTTAGTAATTATGGCATATCTTCACTAGTTTATCAAAGTCATTAGTAAAGTGTGATAGATACAAAATTAGAATATTTAAATAGAGATCCTATAAATAGATCCTAGTTATAGCAACTAGTATAGAATCTTTAAGCAAACTACTTAAATTAGACAATAACTAAAGTTGTATAAATGACTAGTTGTATACTCTTTTTATGATCACCTTTGTGCTATTATATCAACAAATATTGGTCAACTAATACTATCAATAAAATCCTGAGTTACATATACTTATTTTAATATTTAAAAAAAAAAACTAATATGAATTAAGAATTTTAAATAGACTGTACTTTAAAGATGTTCAGTAATACAAGTTGGATTATATATATATGCAAAAAGTTTAAATAAGCAATATCTATAATTAACTTGCAGATATAATATCTAATATAAAATATAAATAGTAATATATAGGTGAATTACTTAAATTGCATATCAAAAGTACATATATAACTAGTTGTAACCTTTTATGTAAAAAATCTTTTAAAAGTTTTTATGTTTATAATAACTTGGATAAAATTACTTTCTAAAAACAAAAACTTTAACACAAAAAAAAATTATAAAACTGCAATAATAAATAAATTACATATTGTTAAAGAAATAAATAACAGCAATTTTATTAAATATAAATATTTTTTAATTATATTTAATATTTTAAATGATATTATTACTGATAATAAAATAAATATTATTTAATATTTACATTGCATTATATAAATAAAAATCAAAAAAACTTTAAATATATTGATACCATTTATTTGAATTTCAATAAAGTTAAAACATAGCCTCATCTTTAATATTTTAAAAAAATATATATATGCTGATACCATTGAATTTTCTTAAAATAATAAAACTGGTAATATACCTGGTCTTGAACTAAAAATACAGATCATAGACCTGGTAATATACCTGGTATAGGTACAGGTACGAAAGAAATTGAAGTCCATTATTGGCTTATATTCGTCGATCATCATGTGAATGTAAAATTTACATACTCTAACCAGTGTTATAAATTCAAAAAAATTTTATTCGCGCAAACGCAAAAAAATGTGACCAAAAAAATATTTTTATACGCGCGCTATATATACGGAGAGCGCTGATATACGCGCAAATTTAAATCTATGTATGCTGCGCTTACTGCGCGAACCCAATTTACATCACTGTCTATAACGAGGGTAATTTCGAGTAATAGCCCAATTAAGCTTAATTTAAGTCAAAAATTGAAATTTACACCCTTGCACGTATTTGTTGGTGACATGTGGTAGTTGTCGTCCTCCCATAAAATCACAAGTTGGGCATATAGTAAATAAAATCAAAGTTTGTGATTTCCAATCAAAATCCAGGGTCTGGTGTAACATGAAATTTTACGTTTTTTATATCGATATTGATGTTGTTTTAATTTTTAGATCAGACCGGATGCTTCGGAAGTCACATGACCCGACACTTCTTTTTGCCATGGCTAGGGTTTTACGTATTGTACATATGTGCAAGGACCTCAATCCTTCTATATAGAACTAATGCATAAAATAGTGATATATTGAAAATAAATTTCTTAAATTATCGACCTAAATAAATGGTCTAGAATCTTTTGCATAGAGATCATATGCCTAAGAATAATCAGTATGCATATTGAAATAAGCCGTTATTAAGGTTTTTAGATTTCCTGCACCGTACGTAAATATGTAAGCAGTATTTGCATAACACAAGATAAATTACTAATTATTTATGTCTGTCTTAGCTTTCCAAACTGGAACCAATCAAGGTATTGAATTCTATATGCAATATAAATTTTTAGGATTTAAATTGTTATTTAACACCGAAAAACAATCATGAATTATCTGAATTATCTATGATATTGGTCTCCAACTAAAATCTCATTATTAATAAGTATGGATTAATGGGTTTATTAAATTTGCAATGAAAAAAAAATAGATACATGATCTAATCATCAAAAGTCAATGATTTAAACCCATTTGTATTAATATCAATAAATAGAATGCATGAAATTTGTAAATTTGGTAAAACAAGAATAATTTTCCATTAACATATATGAACAAACCTTTGTTATGCCATTTGAAACCTCAAAATCGAAACAAATTGGAATTGGAATAGATTTTAGCCCCAAAACATTAAATATACAAAAGATATTCTACAATTCACCGATAGAGTCAATAACACTCTCATATTCCGCCTTAATTTTGTTTCGTTCCTCGATTAATTCATCAACTTTCTTATCCTTCTCAGCCAATTCATTTTCGAGTTGTGAGACTTTACGTTCCAAAGTTTCGCATTTAAGGTCAGTCTCACGAAGTCTAAATTTCGTGAACAATATAGAAAAGGTTTAATATTAAGCATTATTTCGATAGATCATGATAAATCTTTTATGTTGATACATATAATATAATTTTTTAATCACTAAGAAAAAACTTTTAAACCATAATTTTGATGAGGAATAATTTAATAACTTACTTCTCCGTAGCCTCCTTCAAGGTCTTCTCATTATCATCTAAATCATTTTCGAGTGATGCGACTTTTTTTTGAAGATTAGAATGTTCAATTTCTTTAGAGGATTGATCTTCAAGAAATTTTTTAAGCTCTTGTTCTGCCGCATCAGCACGAGCATTAGCAGTTTCGAGTTCAGCTCTGAGTGCATTAACTCTCTATTTTATTAAAAATAAATAAAATAACAAGGTTTTTATTATAATGATTCATTTTAAACTTTGGACACGTGAATATATTCACTTTTATACTATATAGTACGGTACCCTCAGTCGACCTGTACTATTGTCTGTTATATTGACATTGCATAGAAAAATAACAAAGCTTTGCATAAACATTATATAAGCCAAACGAATCTTTTTGATTAACTCTATGCAGATTCGTATCTATTTAAAATACACGCAAATAGAAAACACGGTACAAATCTAACCCACCTCTTTAACTCTTTCCATATTGTATATTTCGAAATATAAAAGCTTAAAAGAAAAAAAATGTTGAGGCTGAAAAATAAATAGCGGAGAAGAGAAACCGTTTGTTTAAATAGTTTTTTTTTTTTAAATACGTACCCTGTAACACTATACTATCATAGTTAAAAGTTCTGCGCATTTTTATTGGTTGTAAATGAAAATGATCTTCAGGTATATCGATATCAACTTTGGGAATGGTATGTAAATGCGTTTATCTTACATAGAATCCTTACTTATTGGAAATTTCGAAATGCAGACTATTTTAGTGTTATATATATCACACATTGAACATTGTTAGGTATAGTTCTGGTAGTTATTACACATTGTATGTACAGTACGTAATTAATTCTCACTTTTTTTTTTTTATAGATCGATTTTTACAAATTTTATTGTGCATTATTTACGTTATTTTTACTTAACATTATCAATGAGTCAATGAGTTGTACTGTGTTCTACATGTGACCATTAATGTTAGTCATCAGTGATCACACAGGATAGGTTCTCTCTGTTAGATTAATATGCAATATAATTGACTCAAAATCAATGTGTAAAATTAGTTTCGCGCACGTGCGTACGCACATACTTATTAGTATGTATAACTTTATACTTAGAAAAACTTCATGTGAATGGCTAATTTACATCTGTTCGACCTCAAATGATACCATATCAATGGTAATACTGCAATTTTAGCGTCCTATAAAAAATGTAGCTTACGTACGTCATAATTAAAGCTCAGAATTAATAATTGCAACGATAAAGAGCCGTTTTTAATAGTGAACATAATGCAGAATAGAGGCTAATAAGAAACTTATTATAATGGCCAGTTCGATTTACTATAAAATGAGTTGACAGTATACAAAGACCCGATTATTATATATAAAGAATAAAGCAGTTAGTAGTATCCTTAGGGATACAGAGCATATAGAATAATAATAATTTGTCCAAATTTAACGTTGAAGTTCAGCGATATGGTTGAAGATATTTTTATTTCGGACGCTGCTAAGTGTTTTAATAAAAATAAGTGCATAGTGATGTTAGGTTATTATTATATACATAGAATTCTTTAAAAAAACAAATACGAATAACTTTCTAAAACGGACTGACGGTTCTGATAGGAAAAAAAGGTTCATTATAAAAATTATTGTTTCTTAAGCACCCTCTATACCGAGCTATTAATTTTGATTTTGCGGTTGGACCAGGTTTGTGGCGCAGACAAAATTCTTAAAATTCGTTAGATTAGGGTTTATATAATAAAAATCTTCGTGATCGTGTTACATTACACCCAATCCTGAAATCTGATTCGTAGTTCAGGAGATCTGCACAGGGACCGACAAAAATTTGGAACCAAATTTTTTCAAATTTTTTAACGTTAGCCAAATTTTTCCAAATTTTTTAATGTAAGTCAAATTTTTTATAAATTTGTTAACATCCAGTTTGTGAATTTTGATTGGCTAAAATTTTGAATATAAAGCATATCAGAGTAATGAAAACTTTTTTCAAAAAGAAATTGCAATTTTTGACAAGCAAGCATCGAAACACAAAAGAAGAAATCGAAGAAATGAACCAGCAAAACCAAAAAATGTAAATTTTTTTTTAAAAAAAAAGTTTACCAAAAAGGTGTTAGTTTTTTCTTATGCTTAGAAGTTTTCTGAAGACTTCATAGCAAATTTTATTAAGCTTATGTGTTGCTTCTATAGACATAGTGTTAATTATGATAATAAAACTTATATAACCTCTTACATTAATTTAAAAACACAAAAAAAATCATTAAACTTATCTTAATAGTAATCAAAACTTTTATTAACAAACTTTTTTCTTTGTAATAAAAATTGCTAATATAAAAAAAAAGATACCTGATAATTTACTTAAAGTTTGACTTGGTACTAATATCTTGTTAAAAATGTTTGATAAATTTCATGAGTTCTTAGTTAAATACTGTCAAGAAGATGATATGATTTCAGGTTCTAATATATTAAAAAGATTATATTTGTCAAATGTATTTTATAAATATGTAAAAAAGGTTCAAGATAAATTTATAAGAAAACCTGTTTCTGTATTTATTAACTAAACTACAAATGAGGGGTGTGGCGACCTAGTGAAGTAGTCAGGTTGTCAACCCCTCAAGTGGTAGATTGGGTGTTCAAATCTCATCAACGGCGAAAATTTGGATAATTACCTATATAATATTCGTATTACAGCAACTGTTACTAACAGTTGGGTTAGGATAACTGT